AGGTTTTAGGGGGGTTTGGTGTGATGGGGTCGCGTGGGTTTTTATAGGTATGTGTCGCTGGATAAGCTGAAGCGGAAGACCAGGCAGGGCGAGCCCGATCCCCCGACGAAGCATGTCGTCCAGCCGAAGGGGAAGAACAAAGGGAGGTCGCTTGCTGCTGTGCCCGAGACCAGGTACGTCGCGTTCGCTGTCGCAGTCGTCGCGTTCGCTGTCGCAGTGGTCGTGTTCGCTGTCGCAGTCGTCGAAGTAGCGTTCTTGGGAGGCGGCTCTATTAGGATTGAGGATTAATTGCTGTGGCCATCACCTTCTACTTGATGGATCGATACGGGTCGACGGGTATAAAAGGGCAGACATTAATCAACGCTTTTATTCAACGCTGTTTATCGCCTTCATGGGCGATGTGCTTATTCTATGGGAAGCGACACTGTGGAAGCGTGTCGTGTCGGTTCCGCAGTGACAATATCGCATTTTTCATTTGCGAAAATGGAGGGGGGGGGGGAGGGGGAGGGGGGGGGAGGATGGTCGATGTCGTATTTGAAGGGCTGAAAGGAAAAGCGGTGTGCGTGGATAGATTAGTCTATATTCGAGTAATTCGCCAAAAAAATGCCGTTTTCAATGAAAGGAAAAAGGTTCTATCGACATTAAACCGACTATACTTTTTTTCAGACTTCTTTCTTGCAGATAGACCACTTCAGCCCTGCATTTACGACAATCGGTCAGAAATGTGGAAGGAATAGATCGTATGTTAAAACAGCAATTGCTTAATTTATGGTCTTAATTTTATCGTTCGATGATTTGATTTCGCGAACTTTTTCTAGTATAAAAAAAAATCTATAAAAAAAAATTCCATTCAGGTTCCACGTTTGCAAGGAGTGCGGGGAGGAGCTGTGCAACGGGGGCTGCAGGGAGTTCCACTACGAGGCGTTCGAGAGGATCATCGTGGAGGATAAGGAGAAGGAGGAGAAGAACGAGGGGCTCAATCTCACTTCGCTGCTGGATGGAGGGCTGGGACTCGGTAATGTTATGCTGTCGTGGGGGGAGGGGGGGGGGAGGGGGGAGGGGGGAGGGGGAGGGTGGATGATGGATGCGGTTCGGCCACGAGACGATTAGTTTTAGTCTTGTTTTGGTGCGGGTCCGGCTGGGATTTTTCGACTCGGGGCGAGATCAGGGTCGAAACGCGTGGCCATGGGCGAGTGCAGAAATTATTCGCGAGGCAGCTGGCTCTTTGGAACGGGGAATTGCAACGTATTAAGGGTGGATGGACGGGGGATTATATCGCTTGGCGTCGGGGTAATTGCCAGCGGTAACTGCCTCGCGTTTCCTTTAAGATGGTCGTTAACCGGTCGGTTAAGTACGGGGGATGTAATGGATTTCTCCCCGTGGCTTGCATCGCCGCACGTCACAAATTCACTGCAATTGCCAGCGCCCTCTTTTGTACCGGGAAGATTTCAAGTGAGATTACTGAACTCGGGATTAACCCTTATCCGGGCTCAATTGTTCTAAACAGTATTCAAACCATTGTAGACATTTTCCTGTGATTTTTAGTGTTTAACCTTCAAGTTAAGGAGACCCTGCCGCCAGAACCTCACCAACCTGAAAAATTTCTGAATGTAAGAAAAAATTATTTTTCGATTTGAGTACGTAACCGGGCAAGGGGCTCCATCGGAAATATGGTGGAATCCCCTGATTCCACCATATTTCACAGCTTCATCACCTAATGTTTGCCTGAATGACCTGACAACTAGAGTAAGAGAGAAAAAAAAAAGGGAGGAAAGAGGGGAATCCCTGATGGGATAGGATTCCTCCCCAAGGATCTTCCGAAGAGATGAGTCGCTAAGGTGACAATACGGATAATCCCAAAAGTATGTCGTCCCTAACACGTTCGCACTTGTCCTTTTCTTCCTAGTGTGTTGGAATAACGTTATTCCCCATATGGTTCGGTATGAGCAAATAGTTATGACGGCAAGTCGGTCTCATCCAGTGTTAGTTGTCCCATTTTGTTTTTCTTTCGCCATATTTTGCATTCAAAAAAATTTTTGTTTGTCTGTTTCACTGTCGGAATTCCACCATCATGTGTAGAAAGAGACGGTAAATGTAAAAGATACCTCGAAGGTGACAAATTGTGAATTACAGGTGAAGGGTAAATATAAATGCAGGTAAAACACAGTTTAAAAAAAAAACACCGTGAGAAAGAGGGGAAGTATGAAACTGAGGAACATTACAGGTAATTTTTTTAATGCAAAATATCAGTAACCAGTGGAGAAACCAAGATTATGGATTTTATGATTGGAGGGGGGGGGGGGGGGTAGGTTTAAAACTTTTCTGAGCTCCCTGTTCGCATCGTATTAAGAAATAAGAAAGGCTTATGAGGTTTTCAGTGCCGTTATCGTGGTAGTTTCGTAGCTAACTTCCCAGTGAAGCAAGCCCCGAAAACGCCACGATAGAGGTCTTGATGCCAAATGAAGGTACCGAGATGAACGCATCGGTCGCAAGCGCCATCTCTCGGTCATAAAAGCATTTAAACGCGAGTCGCCCTCGTCCCTCGACGCAGGCGGCGGCGGCGGCGGGAAGAGGAGCGGCGGGAGGCGAGCGGGGGAGGCGAGGAACCGGTCGTCGCATTTGCCGTTTGTGAGGAAGAGGAAGAAGAAGAAGAAGAAGGGGAGGAGCAAGGAGAGGAGCAAGGAGAAGGAGGAGGAGGAGCAGGCTTCGAAGACGGGGAGCCGCTCTGGGGGGGGCTGAAGCCGCGTTCCGGTTTCTCTGTTGCATGCGGACCAGAATAAACTGATTTTTTTAATCGGGGATCGTGGGACCATCTGGGAGCATCCGGGAGAGTTTTGGTGCTCGAATGTTCTCTGGGATCCCGCTTCTTTCGAGCGGGGACGGGGGGACCCATCGCATGAATCGCACGCGAGGTTTCCGATCGACGGAACACCTGTTCCGATGAAGGAAGAGACGCACAAGAGCGGGCAGGTGCATCGTCGAGAACGGCCACGAGAAGGGTGGGGCTTCTGACACGAAACCCTGACGAGGCTCCCGGGGAAAGCGACGTTGTTTCACCACACGTGACGATATCTCCCCACTTTGCCGATCGAAAGAGGGCGAGGAAAGCGAAGGAAAGCGAGGGAGAACCTCGTTCCCTTCCCGAAGGAGACATTTTTCTGCCTCCCTTCGGTTTTTCCACCGTGACGGAGAGGCCGACTTAAACTGGAGACGTTACGTGTTGGAAATGTCCCGAGATGAATCGCGTGGGATGAAGTGCGTCCGTCCATTACACCATTTTTTTTTACACATTACACCTTTTTTTTCCTTTTTTGGCTCGCGAAGTCGTGTGATGTGATGTGTCACGCGCTCCATCTTCACCCGAGAGGCTCTGTGAGGAACCCCGACGGTGGAACGACCGAGGTTTTTCAACTGCTTCTGTACTTTCGTGCTTTCGTTCCGAAAGTTCTCTCCGGGATGAGGACAGAAAGGGCAACGAAAGAGCGGAGAAAGGTTCGGAAATGCCGATTTTTTCCAAGGAATTCCAGCGGAAGATCCCTGGCCCTTTTCGAAAGGTCTTCGCTTCAGAATCGCTAAGTAAATCGGCCTTTGCGAAGAGTCGAATCGAACAGCCTTCGAGGACTTTTTTTTCGCAAAGAGTGCGGCTGTCGCTGCGAAGGGAAGAGAAATTTCCGATGGAGGAATTCGTCTCGCGGCGTATCTCATGCGAACTTCTCGCCTCGCACGCCGACGTCCGCGGAGAACCGACCTCCTTCGCGGCTCCGCATCTTCCCGTCATCTCTGATCACGAGGGAGCGAAGGCACGCTAAAGACATTCCAACCTTTGGACCTTCTTCCGACGTCCGCCGAGGAAGGAGGCGTCTCCCATCGAGGCGGGATCGTCCGCTCGGAAATCGACCTCGGGAGGAGCCGATGGGAACGTTCCCGCTTTGCGTTCGTGATTCACCTGCTATTCAGTTGCACCTGCCATGACCAATCTAAAAATACCGTCGCGATAAATCCCTTCTCCCGATCGATGGAGTCGCGATTCCGAGCTCTCCTTCTACGTGGAATCACGTAAATTCTTGTAGGCAATTTAGGGAGTTAAAAGGCCAGGAGGGGGGGGAGTGGTTGTTTGTTCCACGTTCAGTTAGATGTCGCCACTGGCGAGTCTCCCAGGCCATTCTCCTTACTCGGCGGCAGAAGAAATAGTGTCGCACTGGCGAGAGAAATTCTTAAGTGCAATAAATGGATTCGCGAGCCGGATGGACATTTTTCATGCAGACTTCAGATGAAAATTGGCCAGTTACGATCGCACAGGGTGGAGCTAAAAATCGATTTTTTTAAGAGGGAAATGTGAATCTGTTACCAATTTTAGAGTGTGTGGAAAAAAAAAACGCTATGCATAATGTTTAACTGAGTTTATGGCATTACTTTAAAGGTGCTCGAATTTCGTATCAGATGACATGTTGCGAATAAGGGAGAACAGATGAAGTTGGCGAAACTTGGTTCATGTTGAAACTCCAAAATAAACTCGCTGATGCATGAAAACGCATGAATTCGTAATTTCTCATTTCGTGGAAAAGTTCATGGGAATTCTCTAATAAATAGTAATATTTTCTCATTGGACTTCTTATCCGATATTCTTTCCTAATGCTTCAAATTATATACGATTCAACGTCTCCCTCTAATTATGACTCATTAATGAGTCCACTCATTAAGAAACTATGATATATTTCCTGGAAACCTTGTCTTCGGAATGCCACCTTGAAAATCCAGATGTTCGAGTATTTTTCCTCTTCTGTAGGATTTTCTTTATCGTCGACGTAAAAGGCCTAAAAAAATCCCACCTTCGATCCGGTCCGCCGAGAAAAATCGGCAGCGAATTGAGTCGCCCGATGTTCAAAAAGCCTGCTTCGGTCCTTTCCAAGGGCGACGACATTTCACAGGGATTTCGCAGTTGTTCCGGTCCCGTCGAAACGGTACGACTGAAAAGCATTTAAACTACCGATTATTCGCCTCGTGCACCGATAGACGAGACAGGGGAAACCGCAGGAATCCACGGACACGGGACGCCGACATCGATGACTCCACGCGTCGAGGTTACTGAGCCGTCGATGCTCATGTTCCATTTTTTAAAACAAAGGGAATCGAGTCGTAAATGAAATGGTTCACGGAAAAGAGGGTAAGAAAATGTTCATTCGTACTATAACAAATTACATACTGCCGGTCAAGAACAGACCTCGAAGCGAGATGAGAGAAGACTCACAGGAAGATAGGAGCGAGCGCGAGGGAGGTAAGAATGCAACTGAGGAGGGGATCAGAAACGACGGTTGACGAAGGACTACTTCCCCTGGTACCTGTGTGAGCCAATGAGGAGAGTTGCAACCTGACGTCAGTGATCACGTGATCTCGCCCTGGGGGAGGTGGGAGCCTCCTCGGGGCCCCATGAGGTCCTAAAGGGAAGGGAAGGGATATTTCAAAGGCTTCTGCTCGGGTCACGTGATCACAGCTCTCCTCCCCCCCCCCCTATTCATCGTCTGCTTGCCTTAGGCCGAGTACATACTCGAGCTGTACAGCATGCTGGATGATGCAACATGATGCAACATGTTGGATTGGATTTTGCCGCTGCTGTACATGCTGTGCAGCGCGAGTATGAACTCGGCCTTAGCCCGCACGTTTTGCACTGCGCCAGGATAGCGTGGTTATGGTGAATTCTTCCTGAAATCCTGAAATGTACGCCCATTGGTGCTCTTCCTCAGATAGCTGGCTTGCTAAGGGTCGGCTAAATGCCCTTTTACCGGGGGAGGAAGGGGGGGGGGGGGGGTTGTTCAAACTTTGTAGATGTTCGTAGCAAGAGAGGCTCCTTCGGATAGTTCTCGCCCAGTCCAGCCAGGAACCGAGGCATGGATGATTGCAATGTTTTTATCAGAAATTACTCCTGAATGTACCTCCTCTAATATGTTTAATCCACGTCTAAAAGTAATTTTGATTAGCATTTTCGGTAGTCACTAAATGTCCTTATGGATACGCAGGCAAAGGAGAACATATGGGCTGAGGACTAGTTGGACTTAATGGGAGCAATCAGACACGATTCATTACCCTGCAACATAGGCCTCGGCAGTCACCTGAAATCCTGGAAGCCAGGCATCAGCCATGATGGCATGGCCTGCTTTTCCTTTCTTTCCCTTGCTAATATTGTCGTGCAAGCCTAATGGGCCAGGTTTATACCTCTTGTTGCATTCCTTCAAATGATAAGTTAATGCGATTCGGAAGAGCAACAATAATCATTCAACTTGGTCTGTAATGCTCCAGGCATCATCGTACCGTAGGATCTAAGACACGGTCGAATATTAAGGTCGAACAAGAAGCTGGCTAGCTAGAAATATCTTTTCTTCTGCATAAAAACCACCTTTAAGCTTCGGTCCTATGGGTCAAGAAACTGGCCAATCTGAGGTCCCGCCTTATTAGCAGAGCGTTAAAGAACATGACATTTACCTTCAACTTAGCTCTCAGGCTAACTGAGGAAGAATAAAAGTAGTTGTTCTCGATGACCGTTTGCCATTCGGTAGCAAATTTGGCCATAGAATCAAGTAGGCCTGAGAAATCAGGTACAATCTACCATGAACGCGCTGTGCTGAGCAGAGCAAGACGTGCGGACTAGGGCAACAAAAGCAGACGATGAGAATGGGGGGGGGGAGGAGCTGTGGTCACGTGACCTGAGGAGAAGCCTTTGAAATATCCCTTCCTGAGGTCTATGGGTCGGGATTGCGCGGTGAGTGACGTCACATCCCAGGATTCTTCCTGGCTAGGATAGACGAGGTTTTCGCCTGCTCCGCTGTGGGCGCGTGACACGGTTCCTTGAAGCTTGGGTGGGTCCTTCATTAATTAACATTCAGAAATGTCTGCTCGTCTTGCTGCCGCCAAGCTTCGCTCGTGGTCAGGATTCCTCTGTTCGGTATTCCTTGATGACTGTAGCATTGGCGGTTCGTGATAAGCAGCAATAGTAGGCTTAGTTCCTTAGTGGAGACCGGCCTCATCTGCTTCCATCGACGGACTCTTACTGCTGTGCATCACGAACTGCCACTGCTATGTAGCCAGCTCAAGGAAACTTGGACTTGGTCCTCGTAGCAGCGGGAAGTGAAGGACCTCACTGCTTGTCCCAGCCAGGACAAGACGTATTCCCTGTCGCAGGAAAATGTGGGGGGCCCTGGGTTTGGGAGATTTGCCCCTCGTGTTATTTTCGACTATCGAGATTACATTAGGCAAAGAAATATGAAAATCAGTAGTTTCATTAGGCAAGGAAATTAGAGGAATTTATGTAGGTTGTTCGATCGATCACTTTCTTGTAATTCAACGACCTGTTAACCTCGCCCATGAGTGTGACTAGCTAGTCCTGTCAGGCGTTCTTGTGACTTGTTTCAACTTATATATTAATTGCAGAGTTCAAAGAGTATTAAGTGGCTCTGGTGGGAGTGCTGCCACGCAGGAGGCCGGGCCTCGCGTATCAAAAAGACCCAATGCTAAGGTCCCCAAAAAGGCCCATCCAGACAACACTATCCATACAGAAGCCTCCGGTTTGGTTTTGATCCGGGCCTCTAGTAACCTCTGGTTGGGCTTGGACCTGAGTATATTCTCCGTCACATTCAGAGCGTGGATCTCTTTCGGAATAGATTTTTTTCAATATGCTACTAATGGGTCTGGTGAAGGGGTATTAAAATTGAGACGAAAGCTGTGAGGAATTTTTTAACCTCTAAGGAGCTGACCTACCAGCAGATCTTTTAGACGATCAATAGGACTCAATACTCTCAGTCCCTGAAAGATCTGCTGGTAGGTCGGCTCCTTAGAGGTTAGAAAATTCCTCACAGCTTTCGTCTCAATTTTAATACCCCTTCACCAGACCAATTAGTAGCATGTTGAAAAAATTTCATAGAAACTATCCTTAATCGACAAATAAGATGAAATTTCGCCAGTCACCATCAAAGACATGTCTTCCCATGATAAAAGAATGGTGTATTGCAACTGGAAGTGCCTTGGTCTCAGAACTTTTTGACCTCCCCTCGTACCATTCAGGACCCTAAGCATTGGACAAAGTAGACAGGCTCCCCCACCTATGTGCTAAAACCGCAAAGAAAAACATAACTTGGCGTTTAGTTGCCAGCTTGCGACCCAAAATATAATAGTAGATCCTTTGTTTAATCTCATTTGAGACATCAAATACTAAGGAAAATATATACGCATACCCACACAGACGATCATGCTGTCATATTGACCCCAAATGGAGTCACAACCCCTGGGTTGGGAAGACCTGCTCTTAGGACAGGGGTACTCACGCTGGCACTGCCCTGTCGTTTCTTTTTTTCCTCACCAATCTTTTTTACATTTAAAAGTGAGTTTTGATCACTTAAGGCCTAATTATGTATATATTTTTGCAAAAATTGTTACTTTTTCAACCACTAGAACTAGAGGGCTTCAGTCTTTTCCCAGGTGATCCACAGTGGACACTGCAATTGGACAGAATCACATGTAACTCATTCCTTGCAATGCAAGACTGAGGCTTCATCACAGGACAATGCCAATGATGCAACTCACAAATGACAGGGATGTATAAATTTTGTCCTTGTCTCCATTTATTATTAGTCACTTGATACTTATGTCCAACACCCCCAAGAACTTGCCAAATACTTTAGTGCAACCCTATGCCCACAAAATCTTAGCATTCTAGCACAGAAAATTGGACAAAACCATAACAGCACCTTTCTTCTTGTGGGAATTTTTTCTCAATGGGAGTTTTTTTTTTTCTCTTCAAAAAGGAACTTACCTTGAAAATGGCAAGAAGAGGAGGGAATAACAGCAAGAAAAGAAAACAGACAGATCAATTTCCATGGCAATTTCTAAGATTTGATTGAACATTTCTTTATGCATAAAATACTAGAACATATTAAAAAAAAACTGTATATGGATGAGGTTTAAGAAATAAAGCAAAATCAAGTCATACGGAGGGATTAAATAGTTTTATAACTTCATTTGTTTGCAATAAAAACTTTCACCTTCCAAAGAGAATAAAGCGAGATGAATTGTATTCTTCCCACCATGTCACTTCAAGAGGGACCACTTCAGCTGTTCCTTTGCAGATTGGAGTACCTGAAGAAGAAACAGAATTCAAATCAGTAAATTATGAGAGATGAAGACATGACAATAGACTAACCTTGTGCTAAATGTTACAATAGCATACACATTGATATCATCACAACTAAAGACAAATGCCAAGGATGTCATTAGCAACAGAAGATTTAAGTAATGTATGCAAAAATTACAGTCCTTTCCAGCAGTATACAAGAGCTGCATTATCAACTGCAAATTCAGTTTATTACATTTCTGTAAGATTGCAAATTTTGTTACCTGAAACATTTTCTGAACAAAATTTACAGCACTTGACATAAAATTTTTTTTGGATTTTAATTAAAAAAAAGCCAACCTCTCCCTCTCAATTAGAGAGTTTTAGGATAAAACAAAATTGAAGCGTATTTTTCACAACTACAGAAACGACAGAAAACTTTTCAGTAAACAGAAAGTACAGATTGGTCTCAAGCAAATATTCTGATTGTATTGCAACAAATGTGGTATCAGCAGACTTCTGGCATAGAGAGGTTGCCTGCCAATAGAGTTTTACAAAATGGAGGTACTAATTATTCAAGGTAGGCAGACCAAACTGATGCAAAAACTACAAGGTTGGAAAAAAAAAAAGTTTCTGAGTACTTGAGGCACTGAAAGTACTGTAATTTGCATAGTAAAGAGTGCAACATCAGCCTTCCCACACTCCATTGACTGCTACTGGAGAATTGAGCACTGAGTTATGCTGAGTGAGCGTAGTGAATGAATTGCTATGTATGATGCTCATCTGAGAAGTAATGAAATATACTAAGGTGAAGTATTGAACTGATCTGCTCAGCAAGTGAGGTACATCCAGAGATATCTCACCTTGTGGGTGTTCCTATTGGGTGTGTCAGAGAATGAGTATGTAATTTCCAAAGGTTGCCACAAAGCAGAAAACACTGCAGTAATTTCGAAAGATTAAGTAACTACCAATATATATTGATAATTGTCTCATCATACCCATATTATTTTAGGGGCATCTCTCAAGTACCTGTACTTAATGAGCATTTGTAGCATTGAATAATACTCACAGAGAAGTAATGAGCCAATCTTCATATGTGATGTGTGTATGGACCCATCCTATACCATGGGTGTGTTTTTCAGGGTTATCTGGGACTGATTGAAAATAGGAGGCACTGAAATGTACTTTCAACTGAAAAATTCCCAGATTGGTGTTCTGTAAAAACTAGGACAGATTTTGATGAGGCACAAACCAACTCATCTCACCCTGCACCCATGCTTCTATTGAGTAACAAGTGGTGAGGTTGTACAAGGTGTATTGGAAAGTATTTTTAGCATAGTAACAATTGAGGAGTTCCCTGGAAAATGCATGCAAATACACATATACTATTTTTTATATCCAAGCTCATGCACTACTTTAGGACACCTGGAGTAGGTTAGTGCAATTTAAGTGTGGTTGAGATATGTATATAGCAATGGAGAAACCATTTTCTCCATGCTCTCTCTCTAACTAGAAGACAGGCCAGCTATCTGGCTATCTTATTGCAGCTCTTCCAAGGAGATTCAACTATCATCTACAGGGTGATAAAGTTGTGCACCATAGGGGATTTCACTGTTGCAATAAAGTCATTCTTGTTTCTTTCTTTCTTTCCTGGTAGGTGATGGCTGCTGAATTAACACGTTGGCGACAATGCGTCCTGATGCCAGGATGCAGATTTTTTTCAATGAATACCCTCTGGAACTGTTGCGGACGGTCCAGATAGAACGTTCCAGAAGATTATGATTTCATAATTACTGATAAAAATTCCAAAAAATTCAACATTAAAAAAAAACTCGGAAAAAAATTTTTTTCTGGGACCATGTGTCCTGATGGCAGGACGCATTTTTTTACAAAAACAATGTGCGTGGTCCCACACGGCGGACAAGCAAAAATAGGCTGGTCGTCAACGTGTTAACAAAAGATGAAAGGGGAGGTTTAAAATATGCTCATACATACTGTGAATTGAAGTGTTTCTTTTAATGGCAAACGATTTGAGCATTTACTGTATTTTACTCCATGGTGTGTGATTTTTGAGTCACCTGGTACATTTGAGGATGATTTTTAAGGAGCCACTTCTTCCAACAGCTCTAAAAGGCATCAGGCAGGAGTAAGTAAGAAAGGACCTGTGATCAAAACCTTTTAAAGGATGCCTGAAGAAAAATAAACCAAAAGTGGTGACCTTTATAAGTGGGAAGATCAGTATGGTGGCATAAAACCATGTCTGGATACTCCTGTTTTCCCATTGATTAGTCTTTTCTGAAACCTAGAGCTTAACCCATAATCTATTAGCATCTCAAAATTGGGACAGTAAAAAATTGTGCTCTTATTTTTCAGAAAATGCTCTAAATGACATAAGTACAGCAGCACCCTTTTATCTAGATTGTATCTCATGAGTGAAATCTTGGAAATATTCCCATAAGTTGAGTTCTCATAAGCATTCTTGTGGGATGGCCTGTAATTTAGATGGTTCAAAATGGCATGTGAAAGACTTCACCACAAATCAGCTATATATATATCTTAACCAAGTCTGACTTTGATTTTCAGAATCATTACTTGATATCTTACACCATTTTCCCAATATATTATTCCAACCTGTTCTTGGTTACTAGCAAAAACCAGGATTAGAAGTGTGGAAGTGTTTTAGCAATAACATTCCTCTCGATGAAGACAGGAAGCTTCAATCTGGAGCCACTTAACATGAAAGATTGCTCTCTTCCCAATGGTACTGCGAACTAACTTCAGGGAGACATTAAAAAAATTTTACATCTAAAATTCTACCAGCTTGATGAACAAAGTTTCTGAAGATCCCAAAATCCCAAGGTATATAAAAAAGTTTTAATAAATGTTTTAGTGATTATCATTTGTGAAAATACAATTGAAACAATTATGAAAATTTATTTGAATAATACAAGATTAAGTTAACATGAATATAAGTAAAATACAATAAAATTGTAGCATAAATAAAATAACTATGTTACTTAGTGAAATAAACAAAAACAGAGCAGGGGTAGTGATATTAGACATGCAGAGCATGTCCATGCCAATTTTAGACTTAATACCAGAATTTGCATGCATATGGGTTATTTCATCTGCAATTATTTTGTGAGCATGAAAAGTGAAGAGAAGGCTGAAAAAGTTTTGTCAGGGCAGAAGGGCTCAAGTAAATGAACACTTCTTGCTGGTACTTAGGCAACTGTGAAGGAAAAATTCAGATGAAGCCAAAATTTTGAATATAAAGCCTAAGACTTGGTGAAGCTGAAAACTGGATTTGATCTGTTGCAGACAAGCTCTTAGAAGATTTTGTTGTTAAACTCAAATAGGGTCTCTTGCAATAAAGCCCACTTTCTAAAGAACTCCTCAATTGATCTTGACAAATGAGGTAGGTATGAACTTGTCCTAAATGGTGTCTAGTGAGTGCATGTCTATATTGCAACTTGCAGCAAACAAGTGCCTTTTGTGTTTGCCTATTGTATCTGCTGTATGTCCATTCTACAATGAGAGAAGTGATGAAACTAGACTTCTGAAAAATGTATTATCCCTACATTAATGTCGATTGGGGAGGTGGGGATGCTAGAGTAAAAATTATGTAGAGGCAAGTAAGATTTTCCAATTGGATGAAAGATTATATAACCATGTGGAGTATATAAACACCTTGAGTCTTAAGAGGAATTGACAGCTTTCATAGAACCTGAATCTGGAAACTATGAAAACTGTATGAGGTTTAGAAACTATTCATATGACACAAAGCACAGGCAAATGGCCCATGCACAGAAGAAATCTCACCTGTGCAACTGTTTGTTCACCGAGGGGAATGTCTTCCGTTCTTAGGGCAACCCTTTCCACCACTGAGTTTGCATCAGCTTCCAATATTATCCTAAAAAGAAATAAAGTTGCACTAGTTACAAGGAGGCTAGACACTTTGTTGAGCTTTGCCCAGTTTTTAATTATATATATTTTTTACTTACACAGAATTGCATGTTGGTGCCTAACACTGACTAGGATTAACTTACCCTCCATCACAAATTTCATCCATTGCCAGCATGACCACATCCAGGTTTTCAAGCAGAGTGCGCTTTTCTACGTTTTTTCTCAGAATTTGACTCACAGAATCATACAGGCAGTTCAGGACAGACAGCAACATCAGCTGCAAGCATAAAAATGGCATTGCTTTCAACACACTGAGGGAACTTACAATTTAAGTACACATCACATTCACAATTGAATTTGTACAATATTCTGAAAGGTCATATCATCCCTTCATACAAGATCTACATCCAAAAAAAAAAAACAAAACAAAAAGTAAGGTACCCATGCAAGGCAGGAAAAGCCACCTAGAAACATAAGCCCCATGGAGGTGAAGGCCAATACTTCCTTTTTGAGGTGGAATGTGACATGAACCATGGAAAAACCATATGGAATTTGGGATAGGAATCTGTGCAGGTGAATGCACTTTCCCTTCCTAGATTCAACCACTCCACTTTTTAAGGAATGTTATATAGAAATGAAGATGCACAGAATACATCTAATGGCCATACCTCGTTTTCCTGGGCACTTCCCATAATGTAGAAGAAGAGATCAACATTGGATCGGTAGAGGCAAATGAGTCCATCAAGCATGATGATTTCTGAATTGGCTCTGACAGTTTTCTGAAAAAGGCTCTTCTCAAAGACCTTCTGTTCTTTCACTGATGGGAATGTTTTCTTGTCATAGTACTTTGACAGGAGGCGATTTCCATCATTGTCCATGATCACCATCCCCTTCACAACATACAATGATGGTTCCTAAAAAGAAAAAATTTATATTGCACTTGACTTCTTCAACTTCGTTTTCAGCACAATGTATAGACATTAACACATTGGCAGACACCTGGATATCAGCATGAGATTCTAAAAACACACTGCTGTATCTTAAGTAGGCTCATTTATGATAATATTCCAAGTCAAGTTAATTATATCCCACATGTATTCCTACTGATACAGTACAGATTAGGACAACTACTATGTCTTGTCCCACAGATGGCCTACAAGGATGATGGCTATGGCCATCCTCTCTGCCAATGTGTTAACATTTAGAGCAAGGGGAAATCTTTGGAAAGAGAATATAATTGAATTGAGGAGAACATAGGAGGATCAAAACTTCATTCTCCCCGTCTGTTCATATGCGGAGTTATATTAAACCTTCCAAGACCTAGGTGCCATGTATATAAACCAAATTCTGTGAGTTTCATTTTTTCTGGGTCTGGGGCAACAGTAATTGGGGTGGTTAATGCTTATGTTTAATGTTTTATCAGTTGCCTGGGCCAACAATTAAGCCCAATGGATGTTACCTCAGGCCTACTATTGTAAGATTTGGATGAAGACTAAAATTTTTGTAGGAAAATTGTAATAAAAATATTTTTAAATTTGATCACAACGCATTGGTATACAACCAGAAATAAGGATATAATTTACCAATAAAAACCCCAATATGGTCACTATCCAAACCTCCTCTTCCTCGGGTGTAACAGTATGCTGCCTCAATAATCCCACTGAACTTTTTAGGCCTAACAAGACGTCATGAAAGAGAGAGGGGAACTAACTCTATGTGAGGCCTAAGTTTAAACGAATTTTTTCTCAAAATAACTCACAAAGAGTGCGCTGTCCATGGTGGTGGTTCCAATTGTAGGAATGTAACAGATGAGAAACGAACGCTTCTTCAAGCGTCAGGCCGTAGTGGTGGCCAAGCGGATAAGGACGAGGAGCGTCAGTTGAGGCACCCGACACGTGTCGTACTGATGATCCTCGGTAAGCGAAGGAGTACCGGATCGTGGTAAAATGCGGCCCTGCGGAATGCGGATGCGCAATTGGTCCCTTTTCTCGTTTTGTCCATGAAGGTATGAAGCCTCTTCTTGAAGCGAGTCAAGGTAGGGGCATCCCCGATATCATCACTCAATGCATTCCACGCATTAACGACCTTACGAGTAAAGAAGTCATTCCGCAACCAGAGTCTCGCTTGGGGTTTACTCAACTTGAGCCGATCTCCATTAGTTCTGCTACCATCGAGTTGGAAGAATCTACCAGAAGAATTTAGCACCCTCCACACGATCGATTCCCTTGATCTTAAAAGCCTGGATGAGTTTCCCCTCAGACTTCTCTTGAACGAGGAATCCCAGAGTTTCCAAACGCTTCTCGTATGAAAAGTCCTCGTACCTCTTTCATCGCCTCTGCATTCTCTCGAGAGCCGTTAGATCACATTAACTTGCAGATCCCCGAAATTGAACGCAATACTCTAAATGGGTCCCAACCAGCGCTGCATCTTATGATTAGCGGGCGCTTTAATTGGCAATGGAATGCTGGGTGAAATCTTGGATCCTTTTACATTTGGCTATTGTCGCCGGTGTGTGCGAGAACTTGAGTTTCTCATCTCTCAAAATGTTATGGCAATTTTGCTAGCGGCGAGATACCGATATTTCCATTTCAGAAAATAGGAAAAACTCACGTCTAGAGCTTTCCAGAGGCTCTTTGCCCCCTTTGATACACGACACCTTTTGTCCTCGATTCCCCCCCCCCCCCCCCTCCTCTTCCCAGAAGAACGAAGGTGAATTCCTCTGACTTTTCTTGTCAAATGAGCCTGGGAGAAAAGAAGAATGGGAATTCCTTTCCACTTCAAGGGTAATTAGATTTTTCCATTTAATGCTGCGTTTCTGGAAGCTTTGGCATTGGAAAACCGGCATAAGCACATCCACCAAATGCATTGAAATATGAAGTAGCAAAAACTCAACATTGCTTTTCACCAAGGAAGCAAAATGATAATAGAAATATGGACAGCCAGTAACTGAACTTCTGCCAAAAACTAGGTCTAATATTAAAATACCCAAACTTGAATGGCAACAAAAAGTGAATTAATTGTACAATGAAACATTGAAAACTGCTCCCTGAATTCCTGCAATGTCTTCCTTTGCCATTCTTTGGCTTTAGAGAAAGATCCTGACACATTCATCATAATACTGGCTTCATAGTTTGCTGTTTGGTGGGAGAGAAACCACAAAATAGAGACATGAAGACCAGACCCCTTCTCCCAGTGCTTCCAAATATGACACTTTGGCATGCTTCAGCAACCATGAGGCAAAAACAGCATTAGCGACATATTTCTTGTTGCCATTAATGGGGAATTACCTGAAATTGTTGCACACTGCTCAATGAGTATGCTCAAGGTATTACGATCAGTAACATTAAGTTTGCTCAAGGAAAAACAATCATGAAAAAATATTGAGCATTGTGGCAAACAGAATCTATGAAATGGCAACCAGTCATAAGTCACCATTACCACTTCTGAAACATTTCTCTATTGCATCAAAAGGAGAACATTTGGATTGTGAATCCACCAGACACATGCATGGGATTTGATATGTAGGAATTAGCACATCTGCTAACAGCTTGGGGATTGGCATGTGAAAATGAGAATACTCAGAGCAAGGTAGTCCAAGTCATAAGTATGAGAGATTTATTCATGGAGATCAGGGATACAGAATCATGTCTGTTCCTTTGGAGTACAGGCAATATCGCTTCTAGACATCACCTGTTGGCACCACAGGCATTGCTCTCGAATATCTTAGAAACAGCAAGTCATAACCCAACTAGAAGGTGTTTCTTCTACATTTCTAGAGTAAAGAACAATGAAAAGCATCAACCCACATGCAGAAATAAAATTCCGAAACTCTGCTACAGGAAAATAAAAAGTCCAGTTGGGTTATGATGCTATGATGATACCTTTAGCTGCTCAAGACAAGCTGCATGAGGTAAGTACACAAAACAACAGAAAAGAACAAAAATCAGGTCTATCCAATCCACTTCACACATAGAAACAATTAGAGAATCAGCACAGTTCGTTGTCTGTTCTCAGTCAGTCAGTTCTATGACAAGACTGGAAGCACAAGTGGAAAACTTCGAAAAAAAAAACATAAAAACACATTCATGCAACTCATTCACTCATTCTGTGTATCAAAATCTCAGGCATGCTGAGATTATGCTTTTGACCAACTAATTCAATACTCGAGTCAAAATGCATTCTGAGGCCTGGCCTCTGCATTGCCATCTCAAATGGCTTCTAGTTTATAAGTTTGAGACTGAATTAGCAGTCTTCAACAAACACACAAAACTGCACCTTATTGTAAGGGCTCATAGTTCACCGAGTTAAATTACAGGTCTGTACAAAATACAAATGCAATGGAAGGCAGATCACTTTGAATACTCCAGATCACCACTTCACTTTTCCTTCTTCTCTCCTGAGACCCACATTATGCGAGACTCATAGAAGTTGATGATGCTGTCAGCATGCTGCTTGCGAAGCTCCTTGGAAGGCACCACCTCAATTTCATCACGCTCTTTCCTGGTGTATTTCAGAAAAAAATTATAATTTGCTTGGTTATTTCCAAACCCTTTAATTATCAAATTATTTTATGACAATTTTTATATAAAAACATTTATAACATCTCCTAATACAAATTTCAACTTCTAATTCTAATATATTTTCTTGACAAGATTGACTTTAATTACATGGTGTTTAAAAAAAAGGTACCAATTGCCCTTGATAATGAAAAGTATATTCTATTGGATTGGCCCAATTTTTTAGAACACTGATGATAGAAAGTTTTTGCAAATTTGAAAGATATCCATACCTTCAGTCAACATTTATGCTCAAAATGACTACCACATTCTCAGACACCAGCATGTCAACATTCCAGAATTGCTCCATTGATGATGCTCTATTCCAAGTGAATCCACTCTTGCAGTAACTATTTTTTTTTAAAGAGCATTTTATTTTGAAATCATTCTAGATGACTTTGTGGCCTCTTGAATGGGAAATACCCATGTCTTGAGATGGTATTTGGTGGCCTCAAGGAATATCCACTTGCCTTAACCCTTTCAGACCTGAATTAAGGCCGCTATTGGAAAAATATAATTTTTTGGCATTTTTGAACTCTTTTGTGATTGTAATTGAAAATTTCATGCTTTATATGTTGTTTTCATATTTCGTATAAATTTACCATATCATACCATATATTATATATCATACATTTAATTAAATAACTGAAGATTACAAAACTAATGGGTGAAAGAAGGCATCTGATGGAACTGAGCCATGCATAATTGCACCCATTGTAGTGTAATATGGAGTGCAAAGTCACGAGAATCCAAAGAAATTGCCATAGACACAATGTAAATGCAATGTCCATTGGAATGGATGCCAGGTCTGAAAGGGTTAAAACAAGTGTTCACACCACTTCAATAGCTCATTATACTAGTAGAGTCTGACACATCAACAGGGATGTCTGTGATGTTATTTTTTTCTCCTTCAAATATGTTTTAAGTAAATAAGAGATAGGAACTCTCAGGCATTCTTCACTAGTCACTGTATGAGAAAAGGGGATGAAGAGATATAAGAAATATAAATGGTGTGTACCTTCACATTCTTGAGGCAATTGAGGATGGAGTTAAAATTGTGCCACAATTTTAAACAAATGCAAAGACTGGAGTTCTAAACACAGTTCTAAACTGCAGTCCAGTCACAGTTCAGTTCCAGTTGGGATTTTGTTATGGGAATAATTGCTTAGACCATAGTGGAACTACAGTCAGACTATAGTCTGAACTGAAACTAGAACTGAACTGCCGTTTTGAAATCAACCAAAGTATTACGCATTTGCACACAATCAGATGGATTTGCAGATAAAAAGTAAATCCAAAATAAAAGCCATTTCACACTTGCATGTTTGTAAACTGGTCTGGAAATACATCTCCACACAGGCTGATTGAACACCAAAAGACTGAATTCTGATGAATACTTTGTCATTTACTAAGAGATTCAGGGAAATGTAATAAATAATAAGATTATCTGAGAACTTAACCTCAATGTGGATTTTTATCTATGCATTCTAATTCCATTTTGGGCATGAGTGCATCTTGTAGAGCAATGACTGTATTTTGCTGCTCTGGGTAACCTCCTTCTGAAAGCTTTTTTCTGCTCAAGCATAGATGCATGACATACAAGGCACACAATGAAATGGCCTTGAGTTTACTCCCTGTCCAGTTTAATGCAAACTCAGGCTGATGCCATTCCAGTTAGACACAATGGAAGTTGGTTCTCTTCATGGTCTGCTTTATTCATGTCTATTTACTTCCAGTTCACCACAATTCAGTTTTTGTAATTACTTTTGTAAATGCCTTTAATCTAAGGATTTCCATTTGACTTAAATTGCAATATAGATACTTTTGGTGAGTTTGATTCTCAAGTTTTATGCCATTCCTTTTCAAGCTGTAATGTTCCACTCTCCCAGTTTTGCTCCAATTGCAAAAGTGCAAGTTGATGCATGATGATAAAAAAAAGAAAGAATTTTCATGGGTCTGATGTTTAACTTTGCTGAGTTGGATGAAGGAAAGGTTCTATCAAATTCTGTATAATCAACATTCTACCTCTCCTCACCAGATTATATGTAAAGAGAAAGACATACCATTTGACAAACAACATCTTCTCAGCATTCACTTCTGTTGCACCAATTATTTTCTCCAGTTTCCACCCTCTCTCTAGTCCATTGCAAGAAGGAAGTGCCACCTACGAAGAGAAAATAAAGTTTCTCCTAATTCAAAGTTTATTTAAGTTCTGAAGGAGAATCAACAGCAATTGAATATATATAACTCAACATACACTGGCCACAATTGATATTAAAAGGCCTTGAATGAGTTATCCTAGCACTATCAACTGTTGCATGGATAGACAGAAAAGGGATGAACCACCAATTTAAGTTACATTTATAGACTAATCAAACCCCAGGCAGTAACAGCTGCACTACTACCACTTGATATTCCCACTTATCAGTGATATGACTACCTCCGGAAATTACACAGGACCCCAATCAATAAGGCATCCATCATACAGGAAAGACAAAATCAAGACCTACAACAGTCATCATATACAATATATTTCTTCTAAGACTGCTTAGAACTCACTTGCCAACCTTTACTCATCCTCTAATGTCAAAGTTATCTTTATAACAAGAACTATTTCAAGTAATCCTGAGAGATCCATCAACAAAATTTCAGAATAACTATCCAAAGTATATCTTAATTGATCAGGATATCTGATTTTAAAAATAAATATTTTCTTGCCTTTAAATAAACTCTGCTGCTAAGCAGAACAAGTCCATATGACAAGTTATCTTATCACTTACCACAGGATCAACATTCTTTTTTTTCTTTGTCTTCTCATCTTGTTCTGCTTCTGCTCTTTTTTTCTCAAATTCTGCTATTAGACCATGACAAAGGAGATTTTCCACTGGCTCCCAGGAATTCTCTTCACTGAAAATGTTGAACTTCTCATTAATCATGTCTCCTACCACATGCATGATAAGATTGAGTGCATAACACTGTGTCAGGGTAATTTAAGACTTTACTTTTAAATTTCATTGATTTGTGGACAAGGGATTCTCAAAAGGTTTTAGTGAATTCAAGGTCGGTGAACTAACATCACTTAACTTTCAGACAATTCAGCAATTTCTCCACTAGTATTTGTCAACTTGTAGTTGCATCAACTGTCATATGCTAGATTTAATTCTCGTATTTGTAGAGAAAACTTACTATTGCATGTTTGTGAGTGAAAGCATACATGGCATAAAACATGATATTAAGCAATATGTATATCATTTGGTCTCATCTGGAACCTTTGGCAGGTACAAGGAACCCTTGTGTACTTATGAACTAATACTACAAGAGAAATATTGTTGTGCAAACATCACCCAAATATTTTTTAAATCTAATTTTTGCAATTTACTTTATATTGCTAGGCATAACACCCTGATTTCAGTCATGTCACCATCACTATTACTGAAAATGGTTTAATTGTTTAATACCAGTTGTTATTGTCATCATTAATTAAAACAACTCTGGGCTGAAGTGACTTATACCTAATAAAGCCATTGCAAATGTCTCATTGCCTTTGTCTAACATGTTACAAGACAGCAAAAATCCCTGCTTCTAAACTAGACCTAGGACAAAAAAGACAAACTGTCACCAGTTCCTTACAAATCTTATGTTATTCAGGCTATATGTAACTATCTTTGAACTACTTGCAAACACAACAAGTTGAAATTCATTAATACCTAATCACATTCACAGTAACTAATCCACCTAATCAATACTCCTGAAAGCAGTAACTTTGAATTTACAGATAAAGCACTCACTCAGGATATCCTTGCCACTTCAAGTAATATTGTACACTCCCATTGTAAATCCTCTTGTCAAGGATTTTTTCTACAACATACTCAACTGGTGGGAGAACACTTGGTGTTAAAACTTGAGGAGCAGGTGATAACTCTGGAATAACTTTGGATTTCTTCTTTGGAGGCATTTTCAGAGGCCAAGTACAATACACTGGATGTTACACCCTTCTCCCACACCTGCACAAGCCAAAAAACATGAAAATTAGATTAGAACATGATGCAGTCACCTTAATCAGATGAAAGGCAAGAGTTTTGTCCTTGCCCCCACATTTTAAATAGGTACAGGCCTTGGCAAAGGAGATATGAAAATGAATTTCTACTTCAAAAGGTATTAATACATTAAAAAATCCTGAGAATGTTGAGTCCTGCCAAGATGGACTCTTCGCTTCTCATTCAACATTTGCACCTGCAACATGCACAATACCAACCGATGACAATATCTATTTTGCCACAATGCCAAGCTGAGTGGGAACACTACAAGATCCATATATAATATGATTAATAATATGCAGAATTTTCCTTCATAACAACTTATATGGTAAAAAGGACTATCTCCTCCCAAAATCCAAGACATTCAGGACACTACCAGACCTAATTAAATATGCATTAGAGAAATATTGTCCCAACTGAATGAAGCATTTACTCAAGGTATGGCATAAACAACCGTGTTCTGGTCATAGTTATAGCAAGAATACAGAACATGGGATTGAGGGCAATGGAGAAGCCACATGCCATTTAGTTATCTTGCTACACATAATTTCAGGCATGTATGCACAAAATGAATTCTTTGTGTCGTAATTTAAAAATGTACAAAACAAAGGAATGTCAGCCACTGGATTCATGGAGTAATCTGTAATTCTCAATGGAAAATTACAGAAGCTGACGAGTTTGATTCAGAATGTGATGAAAAACCGCAAAATAGACCTAGTTCATGGCAACTTTGATGAATTACGTCTCAGGCTACACTACTTTCAGATGAGCTTTTTACAATACTGGGAGTCCGACCTAGGAGAACAGACCCAAGCTGGGCTAACTTACATCCAAGTAACAGGCCTATTTCAAGCTACTTGTGTGCTCATCTGGGCTCCAGGAAGCACCGTAAAAAAAAAAACTAGCCTATGTATCGCACAGAGGTAGGGCTGACTTGGCTCTGGCGGAACAGCTTAGGTCATACGTTTCCGCGCATTTAAGATTATTCCAAGCCAATTCAGGACTTCTGAATTCTGTTGCGCATCCTGGAGAAAAGGATCCTCTAATCTAGGCAATGGATGCCCCTCAATGTCAGAATCCACAGGCGAATAGGCGCCACTAAGAGCGGGAGCATTGGGCGTCTCCATGGAGAAACTAAAGCGCTCCTTCTTTACACGGATGTCAGATACCCCTTCGACCTGAGATGTATTTCTTGCTCGCATCTGAACCTAGTTCACCAAGAGAAGCAAGCAAAATAGCAGCATCGCATCAACACCTTCAGATTTATCATGAATCAGTCAATAACGAATCTACAAAACCAAATGTCTTTCAAGTCAAGAAGTTTAACGAGAGTAAATGAGACATCCTTCACATGCGGCGAAGTAAAAATAGGTCTCTGAGTGCGTTTGGCAAGGATGATTGGGGGACGCGAACAGCAATGGCGGCTTGTGATATTTAGCGCTAGTAGCGCTAGTGGTTCGTCTATGGAAGGGAGGGCACTGCCTACCCCCTCTCCATAGACGAACCACTAGCGCTAAATATCACAAGCCGCCACTGGCGAATTGGGAGAGAGAGACTTAGGGATTACGATCGACGAGGAACTCAAGTTCTCCTCTCACGTGCAGGCGACCGTAGCTATGTGCAACAGGAGTTCAGGTTTCATCTGTTGCATAGCCTCTAAGAGTTCCCGCGTTATTCTTCCATCGTATTTTACGTTATTCCCCAGAGTATTGCGTTGGAGATTGAATCAGGTGAGATTCTTTCAATTACCTTCTCTACCAACTGCAAATCCTGGAATTCAGGGGAGATGGCTCAGGTGAAAAAGGATTCTCGTCGGGATGCCATCCCGCCCCATTTCGAGCACTGTTTTACAGGCATTTTGTCAAATTTCATCATTTCAACCGATTCCCAATTGAGTTCGAAAAGCTTCAAAAGTGTTCCCAATTGCTGCTACAGATTCCTTACGTGATGAAATACTGAAGGCCAGATTCTGAACTGTTCGAAATTTTTCTGACAGAGGCAACAGCGAGCTTTGGTGTGTTGCTGTGGCTTATCCCCCAGGTCTAGGTCACTGCTTAGAAATATATGAATTCATGAATTAATTTAGGTTTTTAGACAGTGTTTAGATCGAGTTCCTCTCCGCTTTCCTTCAATTATCGAGATTTAATTTTTTTTTACCGTCTTACCTTGTAACGTGCTTGGGTCCAGATGAATCAGTGAATTTTCTTCCCACCTGAACACATTGCAATATGCATGCTGCATATTGGAACTCAACCGCTCAAATTCGAATTCACGATCGGCAGTCGCTGCCGCATTTAACATTGTTGTCGGCATTACTCGCTTGAATTGATTGAATCTCACGCGTGAGGATCACGAGGGCATAAGTGAGATATATCGTTAGTTCGTGACGCGGCCGGTTGGAGCGATGCAGTGTTGCCAGCCTTTAATATTTAAAGGGCAATCCTTGTACATAACCAGTTCCAAGCATATGTTACATATGTTTTGTTTTATCGCTATATTATGCGGTCATTCGAATTTTTTTTACTCAACACTGTACTGATACTAAGCACCGATAATAATTTCCACAAATCCCGCGCATAGAAAGTAGAATACCTGGCAACCTTGCACAAATGCAGACGCAATCACTCAAACTCGGTTATCTCTGATACTACAGTAAACGTCTCATTGAGAGGATATCTCGAAACGTGGACCGATGTATAAAGTCCAACCCTCGGTGCACGACACGTGGTACTAATCGGACAAAATATGAGGGAGTTTCCAGAAGTATCGTCACTGAATTTATATTCAGCGAACCGTTCCGGATATGGAGTTCAAACTGGAATTCTCACGATGGAATCCCGTCGCACTCTGACGATATCCCACGAACCCGATATCTGTTCGCTAAGCATAAAATTCAGTGGCATTACTTTTGGAACCCCCCTCGGTGTTTTGAAGAGATTGGGAATGAAAAGAGATTCAAGAGTTAAACAACTGACCGTCCGGATTCTGATAGTTGGAAGCGACATTCGCGAGGCGACATTCCCTTGCGTTAAGCGTTCTCATTAAGCATTACCTAATGCTTAACTAAGGTTTTCAAAAGACCGCTCACAATCGGTTCGCCGAGTCGCAAAAATTAATTCTCTCCAAAGTGATCCAAAGAAACTGAGAAAACCCAGAATGATAAAACGACGAGTCTTCCTCTAATTTTGGATGGAATTTTCGCAAACGTTTGCGCCAGGTTCTTCAGGGCTACATGATCCAAATAATTCATATTAAATCATAATAAATTTTCGAAGTTAATTTCCATCGAAGTTGCATGAAACCAGCTGAATGGATTCTCAGAAAAGCCTGTCACAAAGCCGGAATAATTTAAATAAAATCGATTTAGTGCGCGTTGCCTAAATCTCTCGTCACGAGACGATGAATCTTCCATGCCTCAAGAAACGGTCCCTAGATGTCGCTAGTGCCGCAGCAGCGCCGCGGAAAGGCAGAAAGCGCCATCTCGAGGGAAATCGACCGCGCGCTGACCGTCATGACTTAATGGCAATTCCCGAAGAGACAGGACCGATTTAGACTGCCGTTCCGTGAACTTCCGGACGAGTGAGGCATCTCGAGTGGTATAATTATATAAAATTCCAGGCCTTCCAAAGGATCCGATAGATTTTCCAGGAAATTCGTGGATTCATCGCCTATTAACCGACATTATTCCTCGCAACCTCGCGACAAAAAAAAGGGAAGAAATATGAAAAATCAGCCCCGCTGCGAAACCAGCGAGCTTCCAAGCAAACACAAGGTTTGCCATATTGCAACGCAAACTCAACAGCGAACTCCTGCGAGGCGTGAAAGATCACGTCGTCTCCCGCCCCCCCCCCCCCCCCCCCCCCCCCCCACACCCCCCCCCTCCCCCCCCCCCCCCCCCGCCCCCCCCCTCACAATCT